GTACTCTGATTTTTATAAAGCATAAACAAAATCGGTCTTTTCTGGCCGTGAAAATGGGGATGTCACAGCTCGATGCCGGGCAGGGCCCATTATGTGTTTGATATGTATGATATGTGGTATTTTTGGGAACTCACTAAGCTTTGTGCTTACGGTTTTCAGTTTATGTTTTAGGTACTTCCGGATCCAAGGGGAAGAGCTCGGGGTGATCGCATCGCACACACCATGATGTTTCGCACTTTCCTTTACTCTGATGTATTTGGATGTTTGATTATACTTGATTTTATTATGTTTTATGGATATGTTTTGAATGATGGTTTTTTATTATAATAAAAAATGAAATTATTGGCCTTAATTTTTGGGACATTACACAACACTTGTATGAAATACTATGGTTGGATCACACCACCTGTATGAAAGACTGTGGTTGGATCACAACATCTGTATGGAAGACCATAGTTGGATCATGGCAGGAAAGACTACAGCTGAGCTATAGCAATGGAAGTGACTGTAAGACTATGGTTGGATCATAACATTCACATGGGTTGAAATACACCCCTAGGGCTGGGCCTACTGTTATGTATGGTATGTGATATTTTAGGGAACTCACTAAGCTTTGTGCTTACGGTTTCATGTTTTAATTATTTAATGTACTTCTGGCTACAAAAGGAAGGGCCCGACTTGATCGCACTGCATCCCCTGAAGTTTTTTTTCGCATCACTGATTTATAATGTGTACTATGATGTTTGAAACATATTATACTCTGATTATCTTTTGAACAAATGGGTGAATGGTTTTGGTGATTGAAAAAATGAAAATTTTACATTATATTTTTGGGAAGTTACATACTGAGGGGCCAAAACCACAACCAAAATTGCTCAAAAGGACCACCAATCCAAAAAAATTGGGGTTTAGATCAAAATAAAAAAAATATATACCACATGGACCATATTTGCAGTTTTGTCTTACCTTTTGTAGTTAATGGCAACACAATAGTTATTTTTAATAATATAATAGTTTAACTAAATAATTATACTTTGTACAACACATGAATATTCACCTAGTTTAAAATAAGGTTAAGATATCTAACCCATTTCATGCATGTTGCAATTATAAGTGCTCATCAAACTACACAAACCATATAAACCATGAGCACCGCATAAAACCACATTGTATAACATAATTTAGAATTTATTGGTGTGGTTTGTAATTTTTCTAAACAACAATATTCGATATGGTTTGTAGTTTATAAATACAAACCATTGTTCAAATCGTACCAAACCGTATAATGATATATATGGTTTATCAACTAGAAGTTATCAATGCCATCTAGGAATTGAAATAAAAATTTTCAAAGATTAAAATCCAATACAATCTCCAAAAACAATATGTGTTTTGCTGTAAAAATTCATATGTCAACTTTTTAATGTTGCATTTCCATATAGTATTGTGTCATCTATTTACTTTAAACTTCATAAGATTTTATAATTCATAAAATGACTAGCTTTAGATATAAATACGATGAAGACGAATCATATAAATCAAAACCAACATTTGGAAGTTACAAATCATTATAGAGCTGCACCATATTCTTTGGTCACATATTATAGTTTTACATTTTTCATTTGTATATCATAATTGAAACAAAGACATTTAAAAAAAATTATAATACTACATAAATGTTTGAACTTAAAAGTTTTTAACTTACAGACATATCCGATTCTTAAAGTTTGGTATGTAGTTACATCACGGATACTAAAGGGCTTCTAGTTGAGCGGTATCCGATGTTGTGCTCCCTCCTTGAGGTCGAGGGTTCAAGTCTCACTGTAGACATAAGTGAAATAATTTAAGAGTAGTTTAATATATATTTCTATTTGTTGTTCAATAAAAAAAGTTACATCGCTAGTTTGAATTAAAACAAGTATTTCTTAAAAAAAATCCAATTGGTTTGAGTCTAAACTCTAAACGTTTTTATTTAACACCCTGTTTGCAGTAGTCAAACTAAAATTGAGATATTTTGAGCTCCTATTGTGAACATAGGTGAAATAATTTAGGAGTAGTTTAGTATATATTTTTATTTGCTATTCAATAAAAAAAGTTACATCACTAGTTTGAATTAAAACAAGTATTTCTTAAAAAAATCAAATTGGTTTGAGTCTAAACTCTAAACGTTTTTATCTAACACCCTCTTTGCGGTAGTCAAATTAAAATTGGGATATTTTGAGCTCTAGGTACTAAAAAAAGCAATATGTGCATAGATCAAGGATCATTTGTGTACTTAACCTTAAATGGAGTATATAGACGGGGAATGGTCTCAAATCTGTTAAACCCTGAAGGATAAACCCTAGTTATCTCCCGATTTCTGGCTCTGCACCACCACTGATGGCGGCGAACGCTCTCCGACTCCGGCGATCACTCGCTCTCACGTCATCTGTCTTCAATCACCCTAAGAATTTCTTTTCCGTCCTACCATCCGTCGCACCAAGTTCCTCCCCCTCCACCACTCAACAAAACCCTAGCATATTTGATGTCAATCAGTCAAAGCCCAGTAATCTTTCCTTCCAATTCATATCTTCAAGGGCCTTTTCTTCTCGACCTAGACACAACAATTTTGACACGGGTGATGCTCAGATCAATGCAGATGATGTACTATTCGAGGGATGCGATTACGAGCACTGGCTGATTACCATGGATTTCCCTAAAGATCCGAAACCATCTCCAGAAGAGATGGTGGAAACATACGTCCAAACTGCCGCCAAAGTCCTTGGAAGGTCGTATCTTCTTTTGGTCGTGTGTTTAAGTGCACTTATAGTATGATCCTTTTACGAGATAGGGTTTTGGCATATTACTTAGTCTAATATTTTTTTAATTTCAGCGTGGAAGAGGCAAAGAAGAAAATCTATGCTTGCAGCACAACTGTTTATAATGGATTTCAGATCCAGGTATCAGAGGAAGTTTCCGAGCAGTTTCAAGGTATGTCTTTTCATAGTTGATGGTGTTTGCAATTGATGTAAACGATCTCACTCTTCTTTGAACAGGTTTACCTGGGGTTGTTTTTATACTACCTGATTCTTATATCGATCCTGTAAACAAAGAATATGGAGGTAAGGTCTAGCTTTGTTATGATAATTTGGTGAACAAAAAGTGAATTTTTGTGTATTAATTTCAGGAGACAAGTATGTCAATGGAACTATAATTCCACGACCACCTCCTGTACAGTATGGAAGACAAGGAGGAAGGTATAGTGATCGAAATAGAGATTACAATAGACCTCCAAGAGGTGGAATGGGGCAGAATGGTCCGCCTGGAGGACAGGGTGATTATGCAGGAGATAGAAGAGGCCCCATGCCTTCGTATCAGTCAAATTACAACCAAGGAGGTGGGAGAAGTGTTGACCCCAGTAAGCAGCAGGTAGATTCTCCTCAAATGGATCCAAGGAACTCTACTTTCAAGCAACCTGAAAGAGGTTACAACCAAGGAGGTGGTGGGAGCTACAGACAAGGAACTGAAGGACAATATGGCCAAGGTGGAGGTGGTTATGGAGGACAATACGGACAACCAGGCGGTGGAAGTTATAATCAAGGCGCAGGTGGACAATACGGACAAGGAGCTGGTGGTGGTGGAAATTATGGACAAGGAGGTGGTGGTGGAAATTATGGTCAAGGCGGCTCTGGACAATATGGACAAGGAGGTGGTGGTGGCAATTATGGTCAAGGTGGCACTGGACAATATGGACAAGGAGGCAGTGGTGGTGGTGGACAATTTGGGCAAGGAGGTGGCGGTATCGGACAATACGGACAAGGAGGTGCTGGTCAATACGGGCAAGGAGGTCGGGGAGGTTATGGATATGGGGAAAATCCAAGATTTTCACAAGCTGACCAGAGGAGGGACAACTATGAAGAAGCAGAGGCTTTCAAAGTATGAATTACTCTTTTCATTAATCATTCCTCATTTTTAACTATGTGTTGAAGAAGGTGTTATATAATATATTATTTGATTTGCAGGAAAGATGATCAAAATGTCCAACAAAGAAACGTAAATATCCCTTGAAGAATGGACTTTTTACAAAGATGAAGCAGCAAAGGGTTTTTTTTTTTTTTTTTTTTTTTTAGGGGGGGGTGGGGTTTACAATTATGCTGTTTTTAATAATATGATGAACTTTCTATGGTGTAATTTACTATCTTTTATCATATGCGTTTCGAATGAAATTGCCTATATCGGATTAATATATGATTACGAGCATTCAGACATTACGTTTAGGTTTTGTTTTATATGCTTTTATATATATATATATATATATATATATATATATATATATATATATATATATATATATATA